CGGCTCCAAGCGGCGGCGGCGGCAGGGTAGGGGGTCCTGATGGCTTACAGGCGAAGCACTGGAAGCCATCCGGACACCCCCTACCCTGCTGCCACTGCCGCTGAGAGCCTTCCGAGCTCTCAAAGGGCTTTCTCCAATGTCGGGGGGGAAAGCCCTTTGAGAGCTTGGAAGGCAAATGTCGGCGGTTCGCAGTGGCTTCGGGGTCCTTCCAAAGCCACTGCCGACCGACCGCCAACATTTTCCCCCAGCTGAGCGATGGGGCTTCAAAGCTCCCGCTGCTCAGCTAGGGGGAAATGGCAAAGGCCCCATTTTCAGCCAGCTGATCGGCGGTTCCAAAATGGCCGCCTGCTGTGTTGCCTTGCTTTAGAGGCACCGAATATGGCCGCCCCTATGGAGGATCTTCGCTGAACTGTGAGTTTTCTCACAGTTTTTTGCCTCGTATAGCTATGTTTCCAGATAGCGACGATTAATTCGGAACGGATTAACGTCGCTATGCGGGACACCACTGTAATTAAAAATTGGCTTACCAATTTGTTCGAACTGTTAATTTTTGTAAGCCTGTAACTTCTTTACCCACATGCATGCTGATGAACTTTGCCTTGGTGATGCTGTTGAGTTCCCCTAGAATAGATTCTTGGTTCTGGATGACTTTATCATCCCTGCCGAGGCTTGAGGTATCCGGGCTAGTTTTTGAGCTTTTGGAAACCATGGATTCCTTGGACGTGTCCCAGTAGGTCAATGGCCCCATCTACATGCTTTTAAATATTGTCTTTTAATTGTTGTAAGCTACCTTGGGTTGTTTTAAGGAGAAAGGTGCAGTAAAAATATTTTTAAATAAATAAATACATATGCTGGACCTGGTATTTTCCATGGGGTAGGGAAAGAGTGGCCTGAGGGGTGACTGAGGGGGGTCTGTCACCTTGTCATGGTTAGACCACTACCTCATACTGTTTGGCTATGATATCCTTTTGGAGAGACTCTTGGGACACATTACATAATCCAGCGAAGATATAACTAGGTCATGTGTGTGTCACCATGGCCAAATCAGACTTCTCTAGAAGCAGTCACTGCTGGCACACAACTATGCAGAGGCACTCCTGGGCACTGCCAAAACCTGGACGTCCAGGCTCAAAGGTAAATCCAGGAATACCCCCCCAAGCTGCAGGTCTTTGTTTTCAGGAGCGTCACCCCGTCCCTCTCATTCTGCAACCCTATTCCTTGATCTGCTTTTCATTGACCAGGAGCTCCTCGGTCTTGTCTAGATTGAGTTTCAGTTGATTCACTCTCATCCTGTCTGTTACTGACACCAGACACGGATCTAGATCCAAAATGAGTTCCTTAGAATTATAAATAAGAGCCTCGTGGCGCAGTGGTTAAAACGCTGTACTGCAGCTAAAACTGTGCTCACGACCTGGGGTTCAAATCCCAGGTAGCCGGCTCAAGGTTGACTCAGCCTTCCATCCTTCC